GAATAGATCTTTGAGTGGATACATACCGATACCGTCCGGTCAATCATGACAGGCAGTACAACAGCCTACTAGGTTTTTCCCGCCAACGTACAGGACCGGAATCGAAACCGAAAGAGCCACTTCCTGATTCCCATGAGCCTCTACGATTGACCCTAAAAACCCTCTGACCTCCTCTGACCCCTTATGCAGATCAATCACAGACTTGCTGGAAGTGTATTTACGGTCAGAAGCCGTTTATTTTGTGGAGAAAGACGCCAAAAAATGTCCGTATGAATGATACAAGCATAATACAAGTCTTCCTTCTATACTGAATTACTGCAGTACTGATTATTGTTGCTAGGTTGCGCTGTGAGACCGCCTGATGAACTTGCATTGGATAAACTGTTGAATCTAAAATTAAGGCAGGCAGGCTTTGAGAAGGAATATTCTAATTAAACTTCTTAACATAAGTTTCTTCCTGTAGATCAACCACAGACCTGCTGGGAATGTCGTTACTAGTCGTTTATCCTTTTTGCCACAATGTCCTCCATAAAATTTACTTGCCGTGGCCTAAATAAGGCCATGTTGATTTGATTATATGGATGACATCCGCGCGCGCATGAATTTTCGGCCGTTTCAAAAAAAAAAGAAGTTTTCAACCATACTGTAAATCGTACAAAACAGTTGCAAAATGAGCAAAAATATGAAAATATACCATAAGTTACAAAAAAAATTAATAAAAACTATACCAATGTCGTAGAATGACAAAATCAAACGAAAAAAGACGAAATTGTAAAGAAATGAACTTGAAGACTAGATTATTCGCCAAACCACATTCTGTTCCATTTGCTCAACCCTCATGACCACGTAGATTTCATAATGAAAAGAACTTTTTTTTGTAAAACTTTTTTTTTTATTCGCACGCGCGCATCAGTTTTGGGGCTCCCGGAGGATGTCATCCATATAATCAAATCAACATGGCCTAACACAGACAAACTTCTGGCATTTATCTGTGGAATAAAATACCACTTAATATAAGCGTATAACACGTACAATGTTTAACAGTTTGTTTTCTCGGCGGATAAAATGATTTTCAAATGAAATACATGATGCTAATATCAGAATGAAAGAAAATTTCCCAACCTTTTTATTGATGTATGATGCATAGAAATTGACATAGAGACAACCGAAATGTGATCATACTTTTTGTGCCTTGTTTATATAGTATAATCCTTACACTTGGTGACTGAGAAATTCAATTATTTCAATGAATCGTCTGGTTTACATTCTGTGAGTAGATACGAATGGATGGATTTATCACAATTGACACGGATATTCTTCGCCTGTCAACGCTAGACACATAGTCAATTTATCTGAGACACAATTACTGGTACGGGTACAGACATCAGTCACCAATTACTACTGTAACAGTAAATACAGTAAACATCAATACGGGTCCATCGGGTAGAATATCTAACACCAATACGTACTGGGAAACGTTCCTAAAATCCCTCAATTTAAGATTTTATCTGGTTGTATACAATAATTGTTATCTTTTTGAAATCATCTTGTTGGTACTTAAGACCAACGGAATAAAGAGCTGGCTATATGTAACAATTTTGGACCAAAAATTATTTTTTTAGAACATATTCTTTTAATTGTAAAATTTACTTTCACGTTTAAACATTTTTGTGCAATAATTTCATATTTCTGACATTTATGGTTGGCGCTCAGAAAACAGCACGCACTAGGCGCACTCGGTTTTTGGTGGCACCACAAACCGAGTGGTCTGTTTGTTTACATTCTGGTAGTTTGTGGTGCCACTACAAACTACCAGAATGTAAACAAACATGGCTGACAGCTGTGTGCCAAGTTCTCACACTCGTTGTATTTTAGCATCTACATGTACGTCTCCTGAATAACAATTATTTTGGTAGGATTGATTCAACTTTTTTCGTCAGGAGAAATGACCAAAAACTTTACTTTTGTATCATCTTAATGTTACATAATGCCGCTTTAACTACTCTGAAGCAAAATTCTCTAGTCCATCTCTAAAGTATACGTTTATACAAAACATAGTTAGTACAAAACAATGCCTCGTGAACTATACAAAATAAGTATACAACATAGTAAGTAGTGTAGCTTCTGTGTGCTATCAGTGCGAGCGTGCGAATAAAAAAAGGTTTGGCAAAAAAAATTGTCTTCATTGTGAATTTTACGTGGTCATGAAGGCTGAACAAATGACTAAACACACAACAGTATGGTATGGTGAATGTGCTCTTTGTTTTTTTTCTTCACATTTTCTTCTTTGCCTTTGGAATTTATTTTGGAATTCTAAGACATTGTCATTAGCATCGTTTGCCATTATTTTTTGCAATATACGACATGTATTTGCTCATTTTGTATCTGCATTTGTATAATTTACAGTATGTAAAACCTTTTTTTAAACGGACGAAAAGTCATGTTCGTGTGAATGTATCTGTATCGGTATAGCCGGTATAACCGCCCTTCGGCGTAACACACCAGCTTCGCAGCACGCGGCGCGGCGGCAGCTAGTCATCCGTATAATCAAATCAACATGGCTTAGTAAACATGAATTATGAAATATAAATTTTTGTTAAGTCCATCATCATAACATGAACGTCTCTCATATTTTTGCTTGTACCTTAGTTTCTCTTTATTTTTATGCTTTGAATGTTTTAGTGGTGGCGTTGATATGAGTTTGTTTACTTGAGTTGCGCTACCACTATGTTAGTATTTTGTTTTCTGTGACCCGAGTTTTAAAAAAATCAACATGGTCTTAGTGTAAGGCTATGTGACAGGTCGTTCTAGTGTGGCTATATATAAGGCCACAGCAAGTAATTCTTATGGATGACATCAGCGCGCGCATTAATTTTCGCCTGATTTTGGAAAAAAAAACATTAACTTTCTTGCCTTCTGACAGTGGTCAACATGCCGAAAATGGGCAAAGATGTCTGTTGCCATGCCGGAAGGTGGATGGCAGATAACTATGAAGGGAGGAGACAAGACAAGAAAAGGCTCTGATTTAATGTTTTGTTTCTTACTTTGATGCAGTGATATGTGATGCTGGCTGTGTATATGTGATGTTCCCACTGAATCGAACCATTTGTACAATGATTGAGTCAAAATTTTAAAATGTAGGAACCTTGTTTTTTTGGCCTGCCTTGTTTTTTCCCGCTCGCATTAGATTTGAAATCTGCGGAGGATGTCATCTACTTGCTGTAGCCTACACATGATAAGTCCGTTGGTCGAGCAAGGGATTACCACAGTCAGCCGACGATTTTCTAGATGATTATGTTGGTCCAGACCAGACCAGACCAGCCGTACTGCAAGGAACATATTCACAAGCTAGAATCGGTCCAGAAAAGAGCGGCCAGATTCGTTTCAAATACCTATGATACATATGCCAGTACTACCAAATTGGTCACAGATTTAGGGTGGGACACATTAAAAGACAGACGCACAGCAAGTAGACTCACATTACTTCAAAAAGCAAGACACTCAAAAACAGCCCTTCCGGTCAAAACCTTGTTGACGGCTATCCTGCGCCAATCGCGACACTTCAACTCCAACTCATACAAGCCACTAACGTTTCACAAAGACTGCTACAAATATTCATACTTTCCACAAACTGTCAGAGATTGGAACATTTTGCCCCAAGAGATAACTGATACTGCGGAACCCACGAAGTTCAACGCTGCAGTACTACAACATCTAAGGACGCAGCAATAGCGCATCGCACAGCTCCCCTGCACGCTTTACCCCAATTTAGGGGTGTTGTGCAGTACCTAAACAAGACATTAAATCATTGCGTTGAGTTCTGCGATTTGGTGGGCAACCCTGTCAAATTACCGAACTCCCAAGCTGACGGCCTCCGGGAAACCACATCAGTTAAATGTTGTGTGTGTTCATTAAAGGCATCCAGTGCAGTTTTTAGGGCTTGGAAACCAGATTTTCCAAGTCAATATTCTAGTCACTTATCTACATATTAAGTAGAAGAAGCTACAATATCCCAATGTACATTGACCATAATGGAGCAAACATACCCAATATTATGACGGAAAGTTTGTTACTGGAAGGGCCCTTGGCTGATTTTTAGGGTACCACCCAGAACATAAAGGACTAGTCTTGAGGCTTGTTTCTGCAGTTTCAACGTATAAAATGCTGACTCAAATGTGCTAATGTGGAGCAGTGTGTGTCAATATCACAAAGATTTCCTTCTTCAGAATATTTCCAATTTTGCTGCCCTGAAATCGCATTGGATGCCTTTAAAGGTATCGACCTGTGCACGTTTATCTAATAGGCACATCCGTCAAAATGCCTAGATTGGTTTGTCAGTTTTGCTCATAATGATGTTAGAATAACCGTTGGGGAAGCAGGATCATCACCCCAGTTACGCTGCAACTTGTTACATCATTGCAGCTCAGAAAACGATTATATCAGTGGATAGCTGTAAACTTTAAAGGTACCCAAATGCAATTTCTGGGTGGCAAAGCAAAAAAAAAATTCTGGATGAGAAAAATCTGTCTGATATTGACATTTACTGTCATTTCTTAGTCATTTTCATCATCATCATTTCATACTTGAAGCATTTGAAATTGCCCGAAAACATTATACATGAGGAGTCCCTATATATATTATATACCACCCATAACGTTACAAAGCTAGACCCATGCAACGATACAAAACAAGCTTCTTTTTTTCGCCAGCTGCAACGACATCGTAGAGGGTCTGCATGGGGGGGTCCTGGCAACGGTTAACGGTAAATTCAGCAGGGCCGATAACGCTTAACGGTAAATTCAGGACGGTCGGCAACGCTTAACGGTAAATTGACAGGCTTTTTTTCGAGCTGCACTGGATTTGGTATCTCGCTTTGTGAGAAAAGCTGATCACTGACAAAATTACATGTAATGAAGCACGCATTAAAGGTA